AGCTGCTTTTCCTCTGCGCACTTCCGCTTGAGGTCTGCGTGGGTTTGCGACCGTCCGTGACTACCGTGTAGTCAGGCTTTTTTTGAGTCGGTTAAATTAGCCTTACTCAGGATCTTCTTCTGATCCTACATGTAGCTTATGCTGACATTATTGCCCCCTGCTGGTGCAGCATATTTATACATGTTTCTTCTTAAAATCTCAGAGACCATATCGATGCAAATTCAATTGAAGATAAATCAACAAACGCTTATAAATGAAAAAAAAGTAATATTTTTCTTTTTAATTTGCTGATTACTTTGTTGTTAAATAGCATAATATTGAAGGTGCTTAATGTGCGTTTTTTTTTGTTATTAAACCAGTTGAAACTTCTATATAATTCACTTTACTTGTTCTGAAAAAAAAAACATTTTCACATAAAAACAAGATTTTTCCATCTTAAATGGAAAATATATTAAAAAGGTTTAGAGTTTTGGCTTGATTACAGCTCTTATTGGGTTGTTCTACAGCAAATGACATATTTTAGAGTCTGTATAATCCAGTAAACGATTTGAGTCTATTCTCAAATTAATCTGTTATTTCAATATTTAATCAATCATTTCAGCTCTTTATTATCAACACATCTAAGCTGCAAAGTCAGTTGCATTTATTTACTTTGCAGTGGGGCCTTTTTGCATACTGATGTGGTGGAATGTTAGGTATTTTGAAAAATATCCAGGGTAGGCTGGGTTACGATAGGATCGAGTATGCTACAGAGTTAAGCACATATGAAGGGGATGTAAGAGCTTTATCTTCTTATGGCATCAAGGCCACTTGGAGTTATTTGTCATGTTTTGTAAGACTCGACTGGCCCCAAAAAGACCATCAAGTAGGCTTACAGTTGAATCCTGTACAGTAATAGATAATATTTTTATGAATGCATTAGATTGTCAAATTACAGCAGGATTACTTATAAATGATGTGACAATATTATGTTTTTTGGTATTTTTCCTCAACTCTTACCAAATTTAAAACGGTAAACTATAAAATAATCAGATGTAGAACACCTGAAGGCATGGCTGGCTTTAAAAAGGACCTGACTGCACAGCTGTGGGACGACGTCAATACCACTACTGACCCAGATATAGCATTTAGCATCTTTTTGTCTAATCTCCTTAAAAGTATTGCCCAAAAAGAGAAATCTTAACATAAAATGAACACAAAACAAACTATGGATCACTTAGGTCATACAAAATACATTTAAAAAGAAGGACCACCTTCCAAAAGTATATGTTAAATATAGAACTCAAGAGACTTAATACAGATATAAAACATAAAAAATAAACAGACAAGTGTTATAAGAACAAATAAGAAGAATTATTATCTGGAAAAAATTGCAACAGTACAGATAGAATATTCATGGGACCTGGAAAATGTAAAAAAAATAATTGAGAAATGGAAACAAAATGTCAATATGCTCTATCAAGAACTCCTCAAGTAGAAAAATTTGAGTTTCACATGGTGTGATTTCGTAACAAATCTTCAAGGACCTTTTGGTTGTCCAATTATAAAAAAAAAAAAATAATCGACAGATTAATCAATTTGCTAAATAATCTTTAGTTGTAACCCTAGTAATTAGTAAAAAGAGATATCGCTTGGTTAATTTTTTCCTCTCTCATCTGTAGCCTCTAAGCATTTTTGCTTCTCTCCATGTCTTTACTTGCTTGCTACAAGAAAGTATATGGTGTTTATTCAGAAGAAAAGGAAAAGGGATGGGCTTTTTTAACGTTTACTTCTATCTAATGTTGCACCGATACCAGCATAAGATAGGGCCCAGATGCTGCACTAAAATGGTGGGATCAAATAGGGCACCGATACCATTTCGAGAGTCAAAAGTTTATTCAACTATTGTCACCAATTCAAGGTAGGCAATAAAAAGTTCTACTAGATTCACTTTGTATTAGTGTTTTTCCTGCATCGCAAAGGTAGGCAGCAGCTTGACAAAGCCATGATGGCAATTATTTTACATCCAGGTAGTATGCAGTTCTTCATATATACACACACACACACATCAATTTCCAACCGATGGAATCGATATGGTATCGGCCGATGCTGCACAGACAGGTAGTTGGTATCAGCGCAACACTACTTCTATCTAAACCCTTTCAGTCGGTGTCCATATATACAAATGGCATGCATTGTACTGCATTAAGAAATGTTTTGGTTTTGTTCTGGTGACTAAAATAAAACTGAACTGATCAAACAGAAATAGAAACAGAATGTGACAGATCACAGGCAGCAACATGTCATTGTTTCACAATAATCGATCAGAAAAAAATTGTTACAGACACAAAACATGATTATAACAAAAAATACTTTTTCATTTACACTGGAACAAAACCCATAGGTACAAAATGAGTGAACTCATGGGTGAAAACAAGGATTTAAAGCCTAAAACAAACAATCGCTGTATGAATGCTGAAAGTTGTATTTACAACATTCTTGAACCAGACAAACATTCTGGTGACAGTGTGTGTACATTTCCATGTCTTCAGTGTTTTGTTGTGAAGAATGAAAAATTTAAATATAGTTAAAATCATATTCTGGAAAAATATAGGATTTAATGACTATATATGCCAACACTGTATATTAGGGGAACTTTCCTCTGAATTAAAGTGTAACCTGAACAGGTGGAATAAATAAGATAGATATAATAATAGGGAACAAGACAGTGTGTTTTAAATGTTATATATTAAATATGTTCACACAGAATGACACTATTAGGTGAGCTATGTTCTTTCTATGTCATATTTTGTCACATTACTCATGTTTTTCCTATATAATTTGAATGTTCCATTTTGGAAGGTTTATAAAACACACAAAAAAAACTTGTGTAGTTTTAGTGATGCATTAAAAACATTTCTTACTGTAGATTCTGTATTAATAAAATTTTACTTTTTTAATTGTCATGTAAGCTATTTTATCTCGGCTAGTTTAAGGAGCAGGAATAGCACCTAGACTTATAAAGGTCTCTTGCCTTCAGTTTAGGAGTAAAATAATATTTTAGGAATTTTGCTAAGCATTACTTTTTAATCAGGTGTTGTGTTTTGTTTTATTTTATTAAGATTAATTTGGAAGTTTGTTGGAAATGTAAGAATAACATGTGGAAATGTGTGTGATTAATATATGTTTTATTTTATATCTCTGGCAACAAAATGCCTAATTAAGTTGACTGTGGAAGAAAAGGCTATTGTGATGATTGTTCGATCGTCAATTAGAGATTTTGATCCTTATTTTTCTGCATAACTCGGAACAGACTGATGTTTATAGCCCAATGGAGGATTTAATTGGGGTTTTATGTGCATTACTGATTGTAGAGCCACTGGATGGAGCGCTCATTTCCCTCCTACCTTCCTAGGTCAGGCTCTTACCTACTCCTCTGCTTCCGCTTTACGCTTTTCCTCCACCCACTCCTCATCTTCCTCCTCTGCTCGTCTGCCTCCCTCCACCCCACCCTGTCCCGCTCATTGTCAGTTCTTTGGGTGAATTCCCAGCTGACTCTGTTTGTCATGGCAACCAACGTGTCGTGGTAACTGGGCCTGCAGCTTACACTTCCTGAGTGCGAGTGTGTGTGTGAGCGAAGAGACGCATGCGCTGTGAATCAGAGGGTAGAGAGCGACTGGCTGCATGCGCCTGTCAGCCTGGATTAAAGTCAAACACGCTGCAGCAGCTCCTTCTTTCTTCACTTTCTCCCGTTCCTACGCCCAAATTATTAGAATACGTTTGCTCCCTCCTTGCTGTACCTCTACCCGCCCCCCACCAACCAGCTTTAGCCCCACTCAGCAAGTTGTTATGCTTCTCTAATCTCACAAAAAAAGGGTGAAGGAAGGCTGGACTTTAAAACTGGCCTTTGATCCTTTGCTACAGCAGGGATCGCTGCTATTGCATAACTTAGTATGTTTATGCGTGTGTTTAAAGGTGTGTTGTGCAGTGGTGAGGTTCCCTCTGAAGCTGCTCATACTTTATGTATTTTTTTTTGTTTGTAGCATCCTGCTTCCTCAAACATAGCTATCTGCGTGAACTCCTCACGTTGCAGAAGTGATTTTTATACCTTTGGTGCATTTCAGCTGTGAAACAGCAGGAGCAGTTTAAAAAAAAAGGGGAGCAGTTGCCCAGGGTGGAACAAGAAGAGAGTACCTTTAAAAAATCCTCAAAACATTGATAAAACACACGGACTAATTTCCTTTTTTTTTTTTACATCCACCACTCACTGAATATCAGAATGTTTGGTAATCAAATAAACTGATTAATCGGTTATTTAACTAGTCAGCAACTAATTTGGTAAATTGTCACCTAGATAAATGGTACAATGACTCTAAAACATCTTAAACATGCCATCTGCTTAAAGATGAACTTGCTGACAGCAGGAGTGATGGCTAAACTCTAAAAATATAAACAGTAAACATCTTTGAATTATAAAATATGCAAATATTTTTAAAATAGTTAGATATTGAAATTAAAACATGTATATTTTAGTGTTTTGCTATTTACAATTAACTTTAAATAACTTTTTTTTCCTATATATTTCAAATGTTTCATTTATTTAAACATGTTAATTTACTGTACGAATATTTAAGAATAATCTATTCATCTAAATAATCAATAACTGCAGCCCTAAACCCTAGTAATTGCCTTTTTTATGATAATTTAAAACAGCATAGAGCTAAAAGGTTAGCATGTTTAGACAAAGTAAATTTAAATGTTCCTATTGGATCATTTTTAGACTTTTTACTTTTAATGTTACAGTTTTTCAGCACTTATCCTTTAATAAACAAATGAAAACAACCCTTTAATACAGGGTTGATTAGTAATAACTTTGATTGAGAGTGTAACTGCAGGTAAATAATGAAGTTATGGCCGGAACCAAAGCGTGCTTCTGTTCACACCAGTGAGATACGAAGAGATTTCTAACATGAAGGCTAAATTAATGTTTCCTCTCTCTCCCTCTTCTTTCTGTTTTCCAGATATATGTTCTGTAAAGGTGCGAAGCGAAAGTTGGAAGAGGATGAAGAGGGCCTGGAAGGCAAAACGCTGGAGGCGTCGGTGGCGGGAGGGGGGATAGGCTGTGCTCTGGAGGGTCTTTCTAAGGTGTCCTACACCCTGCAGAGACAGACCATCTTCAACATCTCCCTGATGAAGCTCTACAGCCAGCGTCCCCTTGGTGAACCAAGCCTGGAGCGCCGCGTCCTCATCAACAACATGCTCCGACGCATCCAAGACGAACTCAAGCAGGAGGGCTCCCTGCGGCCGCTGTTCCTCCCGCCTTCGCCACCGCCCGACGACCCCATGGATGAGGGATTTCGCGAGGCACCGCCATCTTTTGGCATCCTGTCTGCAGCGGCGCAGGTTTCCCAGCCGTCTACACTGTTGATGCAGGGGATTCCTCCGCCGCCTTCGCCTCATCCCATGGTGCCTCCCAACTGCCAGGCATCCCAGCGAGCGGAGGCCTGCCCCGCCCCTCTGGAGGCCTGCCTCACTCCAGCCTCTCTGCTGGAAGAGGATGGTGGGGATTCAGCTTTCTGTGCCCCATCCCCACCCACTCCTCCTCTGTCTCCGCCCCTGTTGCCCCCATCTTCAGCACTAATGAGCCAGGTGTCCTCTAGTGTTCCTGTGCCTGACTTATCAAATGACAGTTTCTCGTCCACTCCTAGTGACATGGAGCTGGGTCCTCCCACAGCCATTACAAGGACGGCAGCAGCTAATACTCTGACCATAACTACCTCCCCCACTTCAACCACACAGTCCCCATTCTCTGCCCCTACAGGCTCAACCAGAGACTGCAGGACAGTGGGTGCTAAACCAGAGGCAGCTGCTGTTTTCCTGGTGGAGAGCCGCTGTGCTGAACTCCGACATACAGACGCTCTGCCCACACATTCCCCTGGTAGCCTGGAAGACATGTCCCCCTCGCCTTCTTCTCCTCCATCTTCTTCTTCTTCCCCCTCGGGTTTTCTCTCGGACTTGGCGCTGGACGACGTCCTGTTCGCTGATATCGACACGTCTATGTATGACTTCGACCCCTGCACCACAGCAGGGGCCGTGGGCACCACGACGGGGGGCGGCGGCAGCAACGGCCTCGCCAAGCTTTCACCCATGGTGAACACAGACGACCTCCTCAAAACGCTGGCATCTCCATACAGCGGCTCTGCCCCCCAGGTTTCAGCCAATCAGCCTTTTAAAATTGATCTGACAGAACTAGACCACATCATGGAGGTGTTGGTGGGGTCGTGATTTCAGCGACGCCCCTCTGCCACCTCTGAAACTTTTTAAAATATCTGGAGAACTGACTGGATGGAAAATTTGGGATCTTTTTTTTTCTTTTTCTTCTCTTTTTATCTCTTTAAAAGACTTTCTTCTATGGTCGGTAATTGTAAACATCGAAGGTGATGTCAATAAGTACTACTATGACAACTACTACTTCTACACAACACTGTTCATGCACTGTGCTCGCCTTTGTAGGTGTGGAAGTGAAGTAACGAGGAAACAAAGCATACACATATTTTGTATATCTATACTTGTGAGGATCTTGATCAATTCCCTCATTCCCTCCTTCTAATCCTTTATCTAAAGCTAAGCCTTAACCTGAAGAGTAACTGTAAATATTTTTATTTTAAATCCATGTGGGGATATGCACTCCTCACAGGTACAGAAATACAAAAACGAACATTTACACACACACTGTAATTATGACTTTTAGCAGCTGAGTGCCTTTCAAATGACCACTTTAGTTCCTCTTTTTACAGTATTTTTTATCCACTCTTCTCACTTTAACAGCCCACTGAGGTCACTCAATGTTCGTATTTAATTTATTATATTGTATTAAAAAAACTTTTAAGGTAATTATACATGATCAAATGATGATTATTTAACCTTTATCTTATTACAGATAAAATGTTTTAAATTGTGAAGCATTTAAAAAGGAACACATTGTTTAATCAGTTAATATGGGGTACCAAAAGTGACACAATGTAATAAATAAATAGCCAGGTAAATAGTTATTTAAACTGAAATCCAAATTAATTGATAGATAATTAATAGTTAACTTAATTTTTTTCTATGAAATTGGGCAGTTATTTATTGAATATGGAATTAATTATATGGTTACAGTCATTCATGATTATTTTTGTATTATGTAAGTCACTGTGCCTTGCTAGCTTGTGCAGCACATGTACTTCAGACCAATATGGACCAAAAAGTGCTGTTAGCCCCTCTTTTTTATGGGTAAGGTTGATGTGTAATTGTTTTTGTAGTCGTTTGTTTATTACATTTTGGCACATTTGGACCCCCATAGTTTTACATATTAGCCTGGCTCTACAATAATGCTTTTAGGAGTAGCTCTAAAACACATTACCAGGTTGTTTGAACTTCTTTTGCTGGAAGGGAGTGTCCGTTTGTGTACATATGATGTCTACAATTCAATGCAAGACTTTCCTTTTTTTTTTTTTTTCGCCCCCTACCCATGAACCTCTGCCTGTCTCTCCACCTTATTGGCAGTCGCATATAACTGCTGGTTGTTGTTTTACATGAGCTTGGTTATATCAGCCAGTTATCACGATCCAGTTGCAGAGGTATTCAAATGAACTGCACCCACTGGTAAGCGTGTTTACATAAGAAGGAAACACAGCCTGCTCCACTGTCTCTGTTGGTCGTAGATGATCTGAAAACGACCCAAGAAAATGGCTAAATGCAATGAAGTGAGATGGAGTTAATGCATTTTCAGGGGCAGAAAACACATTTTTGCAATTTGGTAAAATACTGATAAATGTATAACACCGGGGCTTACAGTATTACTCGCACTCCCCGGTTCGATGGAGTATGTTTACATGCATTAGTTATAGAGTAATCCTGCTCCTTTAATTTATGCATTGATAAATATTGTTTTCTCGAAAACATCCAATAGCGAGATGTACAAATCTGCCACATTAAAAAAAAAAAATCAATTCAGATTTCCCCTGAAGTGGGAAACCAAAACCACAGTGTTAACCCAATGCTACAACCATGCAGCAGACTGTGGTGCATTAAACAACACAGAACCATTTTTTCTGACCTTAATCTCTATCACTACAAACAGCACATCACATAACAAAAATCAGTATGTGAGCTTTTATGTTATAATTCCATGTTTTCTGCAACATGTAAGAAGCAACATTTCTGATAACTTCTGGCACTTTTCCTTTACGTGGAACAGAATGATACAGTGCAACCTGGGGGGTTCTCCAGTTAGGGAAACCTTTACAAAAGCTTACGACACATCCAAGATCCGCCAAAAAAAAAAGCTCTGTGGCCCCTTTTCAGACCTGCCATTTACATCTATTATGGGCATTTTCTCAATTGTTGCAGGGCACGGTGGGCTTGATTGGTGCCAGAGGCAGATTAGAGATTGGGCATTTTGCAGAAACAGCAGTTGACCAGCTGTTGGTTTGCTTGTTTCCTCGCTGTGAGATGTGAAGGATGTCGTGTGAAGCAAGTTAACCACGATTTAATCATTTGCATTTTAATGCTAAGTATAAACAGTAAAAGTTGCATCGAATCTTCTGGGTCAGATCAGGGTCAGGACCTGAAATTACAGCTCTCTATTGACGATATATAAGGAATGCAATCTAAAATTCCTGCTTCCCCGTCGCAATTAAACTGTTTCCCATCGAATAATTTTTATTTGTATTGGAATATCATGTTTATGTACAGAATTTTGCATTTTATAAATGTGCTGTCAGGCTAATTTTATATATGTATTTAACCCCCCCCTAAGCTAATAACCAGAAATAACCATTTAAATATCAACAGGCTTTTGCGCTAAATTCTGTGCTAATGATAGCATCCAGAAAAGAGAAGGTACTGATGAAAAAAAAATCCATAGCTTTTGAGAACCCCCTGCCATTAACTGCAGCCACCAACACCTCTGAGTATGAAGGGTTACTATACCAGCTTTGTATTTAAACAAAGCGTAAGAATATGCAGACATTTTAGTCCTAATTACCTTAAACAGCTAATCTGAGCTGTACCATGTAAGGGAATTGTGCCAATCAGAGCAATGTACACAGAACTTTGAAGAAGTTGATTTATTAACCAACATTAAAAAAAACAACTTTCCACTGGATATATAAAACTAGTCAAATGTGTATCTCTTCAGTAATGCAGGGCAGTGTGAAATCTGGTCCCCTGGTAGAATATTTGCTAAAAGCAGATTGTGAGTCAAGCACCATGGATACTGTTTGCAGACGACTGTGTCTTCTTTCTTTCAGTGTGTTTTAATTTTTGGAGTGCTTTTTTTTTATTTCCATTGAAATTATTTATTCGTCTTGGGGTTGTTTTGTCTTTTCTGTGTAAATATATTTATTTTTGATGTGAAGTGGACACATGGATTGTAAATGTGTGTACAGAATGTGTGCTAGGAATGTACTTTAGATAGGAATGTATCAGAGCGTGAAGAACTGGGTGGAAGCCATTTTTATATACATGGGTTCTATTATCTTGTTTAATCTGTTGGTTTGTTGTGTTGTTCTGGATTTGTTTTTTCTCCTGGGGGGTGGCCACGACTTTTTATATCTTTTTTTACTTCTTTTTTTTGTTTTTTTTTTTGTTCATAATGTCCGGTTGATGGCAAACAGTTCATTATAATGTTCACGCAGCAATATATAAGAAAACGGTCTCAAGCCTACAGATGTCAAGACTCCAAAGCCTGTCATGGATGCTTTTATGCCAAAAGTAATGTACATAATATGACCAACATTCAGTCTCCCTAAGACTTTTCAATCAGTGTTTGTCAACAAACCGGTTTTAATGCGTCCGAGCGTGCGGTGGCACACATGGACGGACCGCAGTCGAGGCCGATTCCCTCAACATAGGCTGTATTTTACAGACCTCAGAGCTGTGCCTTTTTCTATGCAACAAAACAAACAGAGAGAGAAGTTATCCTATGATCACTTTATCGTCGGGTCTGTAGAAAATAAAATGCTCAGCTTGATAGCTGTTTATGGACTGAAAACGGTCTTACTTTTGTAGTTTTATATATATAAATATATATATAAATATACAATAAAGTGTAAAAAGTATTTTCTTCTGGTACTGTTTTGATCTGTCCACAAACTACACACTGCATGGTCACATTGTTTATCATAAAAATTTGTAAATTGAAAAGATTTTATAACTCAATTCATATTGCACTTAATATACAGATAGCATTACTTTTCATTCTTGTTTCTGTTGATTTTCTATTTGCATCCAATGAAAAGATAAAATTTTTTCAATATTACATTAAACCAATAAAAAAAAGAGGGTTTCCCACAGAAATATAATATAAATCACCCTTTATTGCCCCTCAGTGGAGAAATGCTGGTCTACCCATAGGGAAATTATGTAACTGCAAAAAGAATTTAAAAAAAGATGCCCGGATATAATTATAAAACTATACATTTAAAACAAAATACATTTAAACTACAGCTAGAAGACATGAAAGGAGTGAAATGTAACAAAAAACCTTTTGCATAAAGAACAACCTTTTTAAGAATAACAGCATGTATGGAAAGAAGTTGTTTCTTGGGAGCTTTGGTGGTAATACAGTCATAACAGCTGCTGGGAGGAAGGATCTGCAGTAAAGCTCCTTTGTCCACCTAGGATTTAGTATCACTAAAGGAGCTCTCCAGTTCTAAAAAAGTTTCATACATAGGGTGATGCTATTTTTCTTAGTATTTCTGTCTCTCACCACCTCAACTAGACTGAGAGGGCATCCTAGGACAGAGCCAGTCCCCCTAATAAGCTTATCAAACCACTTCCCTTTCAGCTGCAGTTCAGCTAGAGCTTCAACAGACATAATAGAGGATGTGAAGATGCCACCATAGAGTTATAAAACTTCATGTGCTCTGAAATATCCCAGTCTCCTACCCTTGTGAAAAGCATCACTAATAATAAACTCCTGTTTATTATTAAGCCTACATCCAAGAACATATGATTCCCCTACTTTAACATCAGTGAGGTGGTCCTACATTCACCACCAGTTCTTTGAGTTTTCACTCCATTGATCAGGAGATACTTATGCTTGTTCCAGTTTACAAAACTCTGCATCCACTGTCTGCACTCTTGAGTCTTCCTCACATGTGATGAAGTTGATCTGTGAACAGCGGTTGGTAGTGAGAGAGTGTAGAGTGAGCAGGAAGGCTGCCAGTGCAGTTTCCATGCTGCAGACCAGACTGTCGCACGTGCAGCCTGATGTTCTCACATACTGGGACACATTGGTCCCACTCCTAAAAGCTCCAGTTTGTACCTGTAGGACACCTGTAGGATTTCTTTTCAAACATGTTATTTTTAATCTGAGAAATAAGCTTTATCAGTCGGTCAAATATGTTGAATATGTGTAATCTCACTCCATCATGCTTATTAGCTGAATTATTGCTTTAAAATAAGGTGTAAAAAAGACAATCACCTGGCAGTAACTCATCTAGATGTGGTCAAAGCGTCTTGTTGGGGTTCATGCTGAGCATCAGAATCTGAAAGAAAGGTGATTTTTTTTTTTTTACTTTAATCATGGCACATTGCTAGTATCATGGTAACTGTTGATGGTCTGAGGTTATACCTGTCTGCCTGACTTTTTAACTCCAATAATGATATAAAGCATATGTTTTGAGGAAATCAGTTTGATTAAACCTTAAATGGACAGAAGTATGTAGGAAGATACATCAAGAAAAAAGGACTTTCTTGATATTCTGAATCTTTTTTTATGATTCATGTTTGTTTTAATGCTGAACTAAACCCTCAGAATTCCTTTTGAAAATTAACTTTAAGCAGCATGTTTTTACTTTGCAGTAAATAAAGGTTGCTTCTCCTTAATGAATCCCAGCCATCCGATTCACAGCAGCACAATGCCAACATTAGCCACTGTTAAACATCCATGGCTTCTGCTCTGCAGGCCAGCAGCTATTTCCAGCATTCAGGCCACACAGCTGTGAGGGGAAGGGGACAGGCTGTCTCTGTCTGTGGTGGGAGGCAAAGTTTAACTCAACTTAGCAACGCTGCAGCTAAGGTCAGCAAGGACAACACACAACAGTCGGTAATGGAGGGAGACAGAAGGCTGCTTCTCTCTGCTGCTCTGATCCGGATACTGCTGCTTTCTACATGGGAGCAAACCTTAACAACCATTAAATACTATCTGCATTTCAGATTTTCTTAGTGACATTTTTTCTAGACAAAAAGCAAATTTCCCTTTTTTTCTGTTTTGGTTGATCCTTAATTAATTAATTTTTAATGCCAAACTCTGGTTACAACATTGGAAACATGTAGAAAAGTGTCCTAAAACCAGTCAAAGTTAGATCTTCCAATGCATTCATAGTAAAAAAAAAAAAACAGCGCAGCAAGCATTTCTTTACTTCTTGGTTTTTAGCCCTTTTTTCCTGGAAAATTGCAGATCTGGAGCATATAGACAGGTTTTTACACATTGCCAAGATGAAAGGTCATCATTAATAAATTTAGAGAATAAATTGTTGCTCCATTGTACATAGTTTAAAGGTTTAAGATGATAAAACCAATATTTATTTCAGACAAAGATAACCTGATTAAAAAAAAAAGTGTTTTAAAAAGATGTCTTAATTATTAAAGTACAAAGGAGGATTTTTGAGAATGAACGGTCTGTTTAAAGCCACGCAGCAGTATCCAAACTGGATTTAAGATTGGAAGTTTACTGCTAAACCTTCATGTTATCTTTTTTGTGTAATTAATTGTGGATTAGCTGGTTTGCTTTGAATCAGTTCATTCAGTAGCATACCATAAATCAGGGGTGTCCAATGTGGGGCCAAGGGGCCATTTGCGACCCTTAAAGGATGCTTAGGTGGCCCTCGATCACAGTTAAAAAATGGCTTAAACTAGGTTTATCAGTAATGCTTAAACACATTTGAAAAACACTGGGGTTCAATGTTTCCTTTTAAAAATGATACAACAAAGTTAAAACATTTCTAAATTAAAACATATATGTTGCTACTTAGCTTTTATCAGAAATTTGCTTTGTTTTATTTAACTACAAATAGGATAACAAACAAGATTTAGCAAATTTTACAGAACAACTGGAGCACTGGACCTCCTAAAATCTGACCCCAGATGATTGACATGTTACAGTGCCAAATTAATGCTGTACCAAGTAACAAAGTACAAATACTCTGTTACATTTATAAGTAGAAATTTTGGCTATCTATAATTCACTGTAATAATTATTTCTTAGAC